CAGTAAATATATCATCAAATATACCTTCAGCATTTGACCACCATAAAATCCTTGAGAACTCTCTAGGTCTTCAACAGCTACGAGAAAAAGAGTTTATCATAGACATTTAGAAACAGGAAATAGGTAGCCAAGAACCCAGAGAAGCAAGGCCAGATTAAGGCAAAAATTAACAAACTGTTGAGATTTGTCTTTTAGTACATTATTACCTGCCTTTTTTGCCAAAGTTTTGGCAACCTCCTAGCTGCCCATATACCCTGTGTGCCCAGCAGCTCACCTCAAGTCTTCCAGCACTCTCTGTGTCCTACCATCTCTCTCCTATGTCTGCTCTCTACTTTCCAAGGTAATAGAGTAGAAGCATAATGTTATGATTTATTGACACCTACTACGTGCCAGCCAATAATTAGACACTTTGCATACCACATTTGATCCTCACAATAGCCCTATTTTGCCTCATTTTATAGATGAACGAAATGAGCTACTGACATATCCAAAGTGACACTCAGTAACTATCATTTGAATTCAGGTTTTTCTAACTCCAAAGATCTGGTTCATTAAGACCTTCAGACTCTCAGCTATTAGTGTTGTGAACAACTTCTGGTTTTTGTGAAGATAATGGCCAATATTGATTATATTTGTTTTAGTCCTTGTCTTAGGTCAAGTTCCTTAGAAGCAGTGTCTGGAAGGAATTTGGGTCTCCAAGGTGTATTGAGTGTGTGCCTTCAAGAGAAATGGAGCAAAGGAGGCAGGATAGGGCAGAGGAGGAGTTGAGCAAAGATGAAGTTTTGGCTGGTTTAGCTCCAGCCTAACCCCTTAGTGAGCTCTGAAGCACAATTTGTCCCCATAGGATTGGCTCTACTTGAGGATTGGCCCTTTTTAGTCTGAGTCAGTCAGTCATTGGCTGCTGCTTTTGAGGAGAGGTCCTTCTAATCCAAGCAGCCCCACCAGCTAAGGACAATTCCCAGAGAAAGTACAGCCATGAGCCATTAGTGGGCAAGTATTCCTCTGGTAAAGGGCTCCAACAGCCTGTTCCTCTCAACTTCTGTAGGGGTACTGACATTCTAAAAGGAGACCCTTGTTGTTGTTATTGTTGTTGTTGTTGTTGTTGTTGTTATGTGCCGTCGAGTTGGACCTGACTTATAGTGACTCCTCCTTGGGTTTTTGGGGGAAGTATCACTACGGAAGTAGATTGCCCCATCTTCCTTCCGAGGAGTGGCTGGTGGGTTTGAATGGCTAACCTTCTGGTTAACAGTCAAGTGCCTTAGGCACTATGCTACCAGAGCTCCCTAGGGAAAACAAATCCCTGGGTATGCAAATAGGTGATGCTCTCAGCAGCTAACCAAGAAGTTGACAGTGTGAGTCTAGCTATAGCCTCCTCAGAAGAAAGTCCTGGAGATTTAATTCTCAAAAGTCAGCTACTGAAAACCCCAAAGTACCAGTGGATGCAGGCTTTATTAGCCCCATTTTACAAGGCAGTTAAGCAGCTCAGGGACAGAAGTTGAATGTAAATGTAATAAAGCTGGGCCTAGACGTTGCACCTTCTGACTAATGCCCTTTGTAGCATCCAGTACTCTGGCTGTCTGGCTGAAGCCTGCAAAGGAAATAATACCCCACCTAAGGTAGTGAACCAGCCTGACTTGTCCAGGACTTTTCTGGTTTTGAAACTGAAAGACCCCATTCAGGAAACCAGAGCCAACTTATCTACGTAGGCAGAATAGGCATAATGCCATAATACTTTTAATCCAAGAAACCAGTTGCTGTTGAGTTGACTTCATCTTATGGTGACCATGTGTGTATTAAAATAGAACTCTGCTCCATAGGATGTTCAATGGCTGATTTTTTAGAAGTAGATCACCAGGCCTTTCTTCTGAGGCACCCTAGGGTAGACTTGAACCACTAACCTTTGGGTTAACAGGTGAGTGTTAACAGTTTGTGCCATCCAGAGGAGACACCACAATACTTTTAGGGGCCCACAAAAGTGTCTGATTTAAATTCCTCTTAACACCAGTAGAAAAAAAATGAATATAATAATAATGAATTTAAAAAATAAAACAAAAAACACTGCCATCAAGTTGATTCTGACTAATATTGACCCCCTCTTTGGGTTTCCAAGGCAATAAATCCTTATGAAAGTAGATTGCGTCATCTTTCTTCCAGAGAGAAGCTGGTAGGTTTGAACCACCAACCTTCTAGTTAGCAGTCAAATGCTTTAGGTACTACATCACCAGAGCTCCTTATAAATATATACTCATAAATGCAGCCTGGATTATATTCATCTTTATAATAATACAGTCATAAAATGCAACTTTTATTTTGTGTGTATGTGGAAAAGGTCTCCATGAAGGCAAAAGTACCTGTGTCCACAAAAGCCACAATGTGGTGCAGAGGAAATCTTTCAGTGACAGGCAAACAGGACAGTGGTTCACCTTAACCCTTTAACATCTTAACAGTGCTGGTTGGTCATAGCTAAGGAACTTTGGGCTTTCCGCACACTGATTGCCTAAAAAAGATAATATTTCACCAGATCTGTGATTTCTATGAGTCTAGCTATTTCTCTTCTAATCATGTATTACTGGCCTGAATTTAGTTTGGCTTCTCAGAGAAGGATCTAGCAGGCCAGAGAATCAGTGAAAAACTCCACTGGAGAAGAACAAAGTGCTCCTGATGAAGTCATGCTCTTAGGTTGAACTCAACACAATAAAAATTAACTCTTTTTTTTTTTTTTAACTCTCTGAGAGTACATGGGCCTTAGCAGAGCCTTACTTAGTTAAGCTGAACTAAGGATGTTCACTCCAGGCCTTCAGCCTCAAAAAAAAAAAATGGGTATTTATTGGACATGTTTCCACCTTTTTTTTCTCCCCCCTTAAATTCTTATCTTCCCTATGGGCACCATAAATCCCGTGAGGAATATTGAGGAAGATAACTCAATCAATTATTCTCTTGGTCTGGTGATTCATTTCCAATTCCTTTCCTTTGAATATTTCTTTTATTAGGTCATCTATTCAGTCAACAATATTCATTCAATAATTGTGTCAGTTTCTATTTTAGGTCCAGGGAATACAAGGATGAAAACTTGATGCTTTGCTTTTGGCAATTCAATATAGTGAAAGTAACATTCAGATAGTTACAAAACAGCATGATATGTCCTAGTAGGGAAGAAAGGGAGCTCTGGTAGCATAGTGGCTAAGACACTTGCCTGCTAACCAGACAGCTGGTGGTTCAAACCCACCAGCCACTCCTCGGAAGGAAGGCTGGGCAATCCTACTTCCGTAGTGATACTGCCTCGGAAACCCAAGGAGGGGTCGCTATGAGTCGGGGCCGACTCGACGGCACATAACAACAACAACAACAACTAGTGTGCAGTGGTTAAAGTATTCAGCTGCTAACTGAAAAGTCAGGTGATTGGAACTCACTAGCACCTCCATGGGAGAAAGATATGACAGTCTGCTTCCTTGAAATGAAAATCAAAACGCTACCATTGAGTCAATTCTGACTCATAGGGACTCTATGGGACAGAGCAGAATTGCTCCATGGAGTTTCCAAGGCTGCAAATCTTTATGGAAGCAGACTGCCTCATCTTTCTCCAACAGAGCAGCTGCTAGCTTCAAAATACTGAACTTTTGATTAGTAGCCAAATTCCTTAACCGCTGAACCACCAGAGCTCCTTTCAGCATTGGAAACCCCGTGGGGAAGTTCTACCACGTCCTAGAGGGCCACTGTGAATTAGTATCAACTCAGGGGTTAACAGGTTTTTGGGCTTTGGTACCAAAGTTACAAAATATAGTAACAACTTACAAGGGGGTCATCATCAAGAATGATAACTGACCAATTGCTTGAAACTTCACTGGTCATCTGTCCCTTGGTTTTACATTGGATATTACAGACACATTTTGGGGACAGAAATAAAATCCTCTCTGCCTCTCAGTGAACATGCTATATATTGGAGAGAATCGCGAGTACATGATAATAACAGAAATCAGTCTTTGTGCAGTGGGTATATTACAGCTATGATATTTAACCTGCGTGAGATATTTCCTAAAGACTTGATCCCATTGGCAGTGTTCATTAAAAATATTTCAAAATATCAGTAATCACTATTAAAATCAAACAAACCATGTTTGTTTATTCCCTTTTTAAATAATTCAGTATCAAAGAACCAATTCCTTTAAACATCAGAGAAAGTAAGCTGCTCTGTTCCAATGCAAATATTTAAGAAATTTAATCATGATGTTATGTGGGCTCTATTTATCTTGCACAAGAAGATGCTTTACAAGCAGAAAATAAGGTAGGAATGAGAAATAATGCTGGTTGTACCCTAAGCCTTGGACCTTGTCCACAGTATGACTAGGAATCAGAAAATTTAACATGTTTTTATGACAACTTAAAGCACCATTGACCTGAGAAGGAAAATGGTCAGTATTCTTTGCCCACCCAGGGGCAATGCAATTTGTTTAATTCAGTATGGGGAGCAGCAATGGCAGTGACAATAGGACCCTGGCCACTAGTACTAGTCTTGGCCAAGCATACCTTGTCGGTACTCACTGGTCACTGCACACATCCTTCTTACAGCACTCTTCATCTTGGGCTGTGAAGACCCATGTCTCTCCCCATTGATCACCAGAAACTTTGTCAATCTCATCTTTTTGTATGTATCTCTTGACTAGTGCCTGATACATAGTATATAGTCAAAACATATTTATCAATTGAGTTAATGAATTGAGTTAATGAATTAATTGATGGCTTCATTCAGCCAATTGCGTGTTGTGTAACATTGATGGCATTAAATGCTCTGAGCATCTGTTTCTTCATCTGTAAAATAAGTAGGTTGCAATAGCTGAATTCAAATTCTTTGAGAGAATACATGTCATGTATTCATTACCACAGACCATGTAACTTGTTGAAAAATGTGTCTCAGTTAGCCATGAAACAGTCACTTGTAAACATGGAGAATCATTGTTGTGTTCTTACCCCATTTTTCTTCTAGATCCTTATTGGAAGACAGCATGTCAAATCCTGCCTTGAGAAAAACGACTCCTGCAGGAAATGGTACTGTATATGTTCTTTCTCTTACTCAGAAAACTTAAAAATCTAGGAAAAAACAATGACAGTTCTGAATTTTTTAATACAGATATTGAATGTTTGAAAGAATAGTCTAATTCAATTATTGTTAGGTGCTGTCCAGTCATTTCCAACTTATAACAACCCTTTGTATAACCCAGTGAAACACTGCCCAGCCCTGTGTGCTCCTCACAATTGTTGCTATGTTTGAGACCATTGTTGCAGCCATTGTGTCAATTCATCCCATTGAGGGACTTAACTCTTTTTTGCTAACCTGCTGCTTTACTGAGCAAGATGTCCTTCTCCAGTAACTGGGCCCTCCAGATAACATGTTCAAAATACGAGGGGAAGTCTTGCCATCCTCAATTGTAAAGACATTCTGGCTATATTTCTTCCAAGACAGATTTGTTTATTCTTCTGGAAGTCCATGGCATATTTAATATTCTTCACCAACACCATAATTCAAAGGCACCAGTTCTTTTTCAGGCTTCCTTATTCATTATTCAGGTTTTGGGTACATAGGAGGTGAATGAGAATGCCAGGCTTGGGTCAAGCACATCTTAGTTTTCAGAGTAACATCTTTGTTTTTTAATACTTCTAATTTAATTAGCATTGTTAATGTTACTATTGTTAGGTGTAGCATCTGTCCCATCTCACAGGCATGGCTATGCTTGAGCCCATTGTTGCAGTCACTGTATCAATCCAGCTCCTTGAGGGTCTTGGTCTTTTTCCCTGTCCTTCTACTTTAGCAAAGATGATGTCCTTCTCCAGGGACTGGTCCCTCTTGATAACATGATGAAAGTACAAGTGAGGAAGTATCATGATCCTTGCACTAAGAGGCATTCCAGCTGCACTTCTTCGAAGACAAATTTGTTTCTTCTTCGGTTTGTTTCATCTGTAAAATAAATAGGTTGAAATAGTTGAACTCATATTCTTTGAGACACTTCATGTCATGTATTTATTGTCACAGATCATGTGATTTGGTCACATGGTATATTCAATATTCTTCACCAATACCATCACTCAAATATATCAATTCTTCTTTGGTCTTCCTTGTTCACATGCATATGAAGCAATTGAAAATACCATGACTTGAGTCTTCAAAGTAATGTCTTTGCTTTTTTTTTTTCTTTTAAACACTTTAAAGAGGTCTTTTTGCAGCAGATTTGCTCAAGGCAGTACATTGATTTCTTGACTGCCGCTTCCATGGGCGTTGACTCTGGATCCAAGTAAAATGAAATTCTTAGCAACTTCAATCTTTTCTCCATTTATTATGATGTTGTTTATTGGTCCAGTTGTGAGGACTTTTGTTTTCTTCATGGCAAGGTGTAATACATACTGAAGGCTGTACTCTTTGATCTTCATCAGTAAATGCTTCAAATGCTCTTTCAGCAAGCAAAGTTTTGTCACCTGCATATCTCTGGTTGCTAATGAATCTTCCTCTAATCCCAGTGCTGTATTAAAAATGTAAAAGTGCTACAGCTTTTAGTTGTGTAATTACAATCCAAAGTTTGTTTTTTTTTTTAATCAATAAAAATGCCCTATTTGCAGGATGTGTGTGTCAGGGGAGGGTTCATTGCTTCTGGTCACCACAGGTCAAAGAAGTAAGTTACTTATATTCCAATACAACATTATTTACTGACTATTGTTTACTAGGCATGTTAAAAATACTTCAGTGTATACTTTTGGGACACTCTTAATGAGTAAAATGGCCAACTCAGTGAGCTGTGGTTATGTTTATCCCAGCCTGTGGTTGCACATTCTCAGAGCTAGATGAGGCCCATGATCTGCATTGGCAGTTTCATTTGGCACCTGAGCAGTTCTGTATGCTATCTCTGATGATCAAGTGTGGATTTGTTCTTTCTTGCCAGTGAGCACTACTTTGAAACAGCACTGGGCTTGCCAGCCTAGAAAACTGACCAATCAGCTGTGCCTCTGAAGATGTTCAAGTTAACAAGCCCACGCTGCATTCCATGACAGCTCATCTTTCCATTTCTCATGTTTCTTTTGATAGATATGAAGAGTGCCACTCAGGGGACCACTCTGAGGCAAGAGGGTTTTCATGAAGTGAACAAAAGAAGAACTTTCTTACAGGATAACAGCTGGATAAAGAAACATCCTGAAGAACAGTAAGGGGGTGTTAGGATGGGTGGGTGGATGGGTAGAGTATGGAATCTGAAAAGCTAAAACATTCCTTCTAACATACTTTGCTGTGTGTCTTAAAGGTTGGTATGGTTTGGTGAGTATACATTGATTATATTAGATTTTCAAAAATATTGCTACCATTTTTAATATTCTACATGTATAAGACAATGTGAGTCATTGATGAGAGAGAGAGCAAGATTTCAAAGTTATCACCTAGAACAGATGTTTGTGCTTACTTGGCAAACTGAAAAGAAAGCATGATTTCTAGTATCTAAAAGGGTAGCAGTTAATCCATGATAAGAAGCATGGATTAATCAAAGAATGTTGATCATGTCAGTAGAAATTTTTTATTGTTATGAGGCGTCATCAGGTTTCTTTTTTTTTTTTTTTGACTCATAGTGACACAATGTGATGGAATAGAACTGCCTTATAGGTTTTCTAGTCTGTGATCTTTATGGGAGCAGATCTCCAGATCTTTCTTCTGTGGAGCTGCTGCTGGGTGGTTTGAACCACCATCCTTTCAATTAGTAGCTAAACACTTAACTAGGCCTCCTATACCACTAGGGCTCCTTCTTAATAAAAATAATCACTTAATAATATAATTCCAAATTTATACAATTCGTAGTAATTTCTCTAACAATTCGATATGCACAAGTCAAATTGAACACATGGTCTTCCTTGTTCACATGCATATGAAGCAATTGAAAATACCATGGCTTGAGTCTTCAAAGTGCTGTCTTTGCTTTTTTTTTTTTTTTTTTTAACACTTTAAAGAGGTCTTTTTGTATGTTCCCAGGTCACCTTAGTCCCAAGTGGCCATATACCGCTACCTAAAACCCACAGCCATCAAGTAAATTTCAACTCATGGTGGCTCTATGAGACAGGATAGAACTGCTCCGTAGGGTTTCCAGGACTATAAATCTTTACAGAAGCGGATTGTCTCATCTTTCTCCCATGGAGCCACCAGTGGGCTTGAACCACCAGCATTTTAATTAGCAGCTGAACGTTTTAACTGTTGCACTGTCAGAGCTCCTATATACCTCTAAGTACTGGAAATTTAGTTAATGTGATAGTGTTACTTTCTAGCACCAAGAAAGTTTTGTCTGTATGATATGAGCATTGATTACAGTACCTATATGCTGAAAGAGCCTGAAAACTGTGACCATAGACAGATAGCCTCATTGCCAGTATAGATTTATATAGACATTTGTCCAACCCAAGTTTATTATATGTTATATGTATACAGATGCCACCTTTTCTGATTGTGTCTTATGTGTCAAGTTTGATGCTAGGTACTTTAACAAACTATCACTAAATATCACACCAATCATTCAAAATAGGTATTACAACCTCATTTTACAGAAGAGGAATTTGAGGGTCAGAGAAGTTAATTAACTTTTCCAATGATGCACAGCTAGTAAGTGATGGAGTTGATGTTTTAACATGGCTCATCTCTCTCCCTTACACCATTTTCTGAACTGGGGACAAGTTTTGCCCTCAGGGGACATTTGACAATATTTGAAAAAATTTTGGTTGTCATAACTGGGGAGTGATCTTTGCATCCAAAGGCAAAGAATGCTGCTAAAACCACCTTATGCTAAACATCCTTAAATATACTGCACAGCCCCCACAACAAAGAATTACCCAGGCCAAAATGTCAATAGTACTGAGGTTGAGAAACCCTATATTACCATCTACAAAACAGTCCACATTGGATTATTTGAGGAACATACTTGTGATTATTTAATAAAAATGCATATATTAACTTGTTATTAAACCTTATTAGGTTGTTGTTAGCTTCTGTCAAGTTGGTATCAACTTATAGAATGTGACAGAGTAGTACTGTCCCATAGGATTTTCTTGGCTGTAATCTTTGTGGGAGCAGATCACCAGGGCTTTCTCCCATGGAGACACTAGGTGGGTTTGAACCATCAGTCTTTTGGTTAGCAGCTAAGTGCTTAACCGTTGTATCACTAGGGCTCTTTTGGAGTTTACACTATTGGAGAGCAATCATTTCATTCTATACTTATTGCTTCTGTCAGAGCCTAATATAGCATTTGTATGTTTCCACAGTGGCAGAGTGATATCAATTGTAGACTATAAACTTTGGATTGCAAATATTTGCATCAATGGGTGAAGATAAGGATGTCTAAGCAAATCAGAGTTGTTAGGAGTGAGGGTTGTGTGCCAGGCATGGCTCCTTACAAAGGCCCAGGGAAGCCAGCTTGCATAGCAGGGCAGCTGCTGAGTGAGGGAAAATTGGCTCTAATGCTTCACCCACTCCCACTAGTGCATTTCTGGGCTGTGTGTAATGATTTTATTTCTTCATGGAAGAACAAGGCCTGGTGCCTGCTGCATTCTCACAAATCTCAGGAAGTGCTTCCTAGTGAAGTGCAAAAGTTCTCTTGGGATCTTTGAAGGCATATATTTCCTGGCATTGTTTTAGTTTTACTGTTCATCTTTATTCTTTCATTGTCTACTACAGCTCTTTTATGGCTTTATTAAGAGTGGTTACAAAGTATTGAGTAATACTAGTAGAGCAGAACCATGGGAAACATGGTATTTTGTGTTTGGTTAGGATGACAGGAAAAAAGTTCAGGTATTTACTCTCTGCTTTGGATCAAATCCAAAGGCTCTACTACATGTTTTGACATTTCCTAAAATCACCTGCACTTTCAGGTTCATTGTACAAAGTGAGAAAGACATGCTTGGGATTCTATTTATTAAATTTTGTGTATATTGCCTTCCTTGACTAATTTATAGCATTATTTTAAGGACAAATAGGGAAAATCATGTATTCCCATAGTTTAAAATGGGCTAAGTCTCCCATGAATGATCAATCTCCTTAATACAAATATTGATACTTATTTTCCTTCTTTTTGTCAGGTAAACTGTCAGGTCCAGCCAATTAAAATGTCCAGACATAACGGACCTCATGAAATTTTTCAACACAAAAAGATCCCTGCACTATTTGCAAAGGTCCCTAAGTGGTGCAAATGATTTGTACTCAACTCCTAACCGAAAAGTTGGTGGATCAAACCCACCATGGAAGAAAAGCCTGGTGATCTACTTTCATGAAGATTACAACCAAGAAAGCCATATGAAACAGTTCTATTCTGTAACACATGGGGTTGCCCTGAGTCGGCATCCACCCAACAGCAACAGATTAATAACACAAACTAGATAGACTCGTGTTCCCACACTGACTGAAAAACAAAAACAAAAAACAACAGATTCATTCCAGGTTGAATCATGTGAAAATCTTATGGGATAATTAGAATAATGCTCATCTGTACTGACAAACTTGTTTATTTTTTGCCCTACTCCTTCAAGTAGTGACTGGTTAAAATAAACACAGTTGTGTTCTTATACCTGTAATGAAATGAATTAACCTTGCCAAAAGTTGTAAGCTCTTGGCCTCTCTTCTTTGTTTCGCACTTAGCAAATACTGTACTAACTTTTTATGTGACAAAATTTGTTCTTTCTTTGCAGAGATGAAAATTTTGGTAGGGCAGTGCTCAACCGGCATAACTCCCATGATGCCTTGGACAGGTGGGTGTTTCAGACACTTTGTGTTATTAGCAGAAACATAGACAGAGATAGTTGTTTTAAGAGGAGACTTGTTCAAGACATTGAATATATGTAGCTAGCCCAAGGCTTCCCCTGATATTCTGGTCACCTTAAGAATATGTCTGACATAATTAGGGGTTTTTACAGTGCAAACTCTGTGCTCCCCTGCTTGTTGCCCTGGGTACAACCCAGAACTACACTGGGTGCTGTGGTATAATCAACCCATTACACACCCTACTTCATGGCAGCAGGCAGGGACTCTCATAGGAACACGACCAGATAAGATATTTCTCAACCTTAGGGCAAGGAAACTAAAATATAGAAATAACATCTCCAGAGTTTACTTTCTTTATGAGACAGTGCATTTCTTTCTAAAAACTCTTGGCCTTGTACAAAAATAATCAATTAAACACTCCATGGCAAACAGACTGATGAATGTGAACTGGTAGGAAAATTTAGATAAAATAGCACCATGATGTTGTAAATAATCTCAGATTGATCAAATAAATAGAAAATGTTGTTGTTAGATGCTGTTGAGTCAGTTTCCACTCATAGTGAGTCTATACACAAGAGAACGAAACACAGCCGAGTTCTGCATCACCCTCACAGTTACTGACATGCTGAGCTCCTTTTTGCAGCCACTGTGTCAATCCATCTCATTGAAGGTCTTCCCTCTTTGACTAACCCTCTACCTTACAAAGCATGATGTCTTTCTCCAGGGACTGATCCTTCCTGAAAACATGACCAAAGTCTGAGAGATGAAGTCTGACCATTCTCACTTCAAATAGATAATAGTTTTAAATAAATAGTAGTCTTATTAAAACACATTTATATGCACATACATACACACAACCACATCCATCAGAAGGTACAAGTTTTATTTGATTGTGTAGCCTGTCTCTGCTTGTCATCAGAGGTGATTGGTACAAGAGTACAATTGTCTTTCTTTATGACAAAAACTTGTTGTTGTTGTTGTTAAGTGCCGTCGACATTTCCAACTCATAGTGACCCCATGCACAGCAGAACGAAACACTGCCTGATCCCGCGCCAGCCCCACAATCCCTGCTATACTTGAGCCCATCATCGCAGCCACCGTGTCAATCCATCTCGCTGAAGGCCTCCCCCTCTTTT